CTGAGCTCTCACGAATGTTTATGCCAAAAGGACTGGCGATTTGGCAGTGGGATGACCAGGGTTCCATATCACACATGTCCCCCAGGAAATGAAGAGCTGAATATTTATCACATGCATTGCTGTGGACTTGGAGCCCTCTGAACTCTGAAAGAACTTTCAGGACTTTCATTTTTTCCCCAATGACCTTCACATCTGTGTGTCATGGTCCTTCCTGGCACAGTGTCTATAGGTGCCAAGTTTTTCCTTGCTAAGATAGTGTTTCATAGAGGCAGGTTTGGTAAAATGCTTTTCCGTTCTGATAAAATATATTACAATATATTTCCATTTTAAATAAGTCCAATGCCTGTTTTGAATTAATCACCATCATGCACAGTAATTAGGTCTATATGGATCTACAAAGAGAGTTGTTCTTTCAGGAAGGATCCACTAATTCCACTGAAGGCCGTACAGTGGCCAGTCCTAGGAGCCTGGAGACTTTTCCCAGAAATCAGACTTCCACTTTCTACATAAGTCAAGATTATTCTCAATAAATTCTCTAGCAGTTGCTGCAGCAGTTCAGAAAATTTGAGCATGTACAACTAGAGAATTCACTTACTTTCCTGGGACTCAGGCAGAAGCCAAATAAAACAGAAGTCCCTGGGCCTTCCAGCCAATGCGTTGGCACTGGGGACCTGCAGAGATAATGGCTGCAGAGGACAGGAATCTGCTTCCAGGACTGCTGTGCCCTGGGACAGCGGCTCAGGAAGTATTTTTAGTCTCCTCCTTTTCAGACATTTTTTTCCTCTTTCTTTTCCTCTTCCTTTCTCCCTTTCCTTTCTCTCCCTCCCTGTCTTCTTCAGTTTCTCTGTTTCTTTCCTTCCCTTCCCTACTTCCTCTTTCTCTCCCCCTCTCCCTCCTTTCTTCTCTCTCTCTGCCCCTCCCCACCCTGCTTCAGTCTCTCTGTCTCTCTCTCTCTGTCCCCAACCGGTGTTCTGCCTGCCCCCTCTGTATCTGGGGATCACTATTGCTGTACTCTGAGATGGCAGCTCCCTTTCTCTGCCTTCTTTCTGTTCTACCCTCAAAAGATTTTATAACCAAAAAAGAGAATTTCTTTTTCTGCCTGCTCCCATGGCCACCTCCTTCTGTTTGAAGAATTCCATTGTAGCTGCTGTGTGCAAGCACCTGGACTTAACTGTTCTACTGAGGCACATAGACTTTAGTAATTCTACCTGGTTTTTCTTTGCAAAGCCTCATTGCTTTGAATAAAAATGAAGAGATCCTACTTTATGGCATGGAGTTCAAAATTAGGCCTTGCATTTTCCAAGGGGCCAGTTAATCCCAGAAGCATCTGGATAGACAAACTATTTCAAAAACTTTTTAAAGACATTTACTTAATTAATTAGTGGGCTACCCTTAATACCTACCCATCAGAACTTATAAAAATATCTGTAATTCAAACTGCCTTTCTAGAGCTGCAGTTTTCAAAGTGTGGTCCCTAGACCAATATCATAGAGAACTTCTTAGGGATACAGATCCTTGAGCCCCATCCTAGACTCACTACATCACAAACTGGGAGTGGACCCCAAAGCCTCTATTTAACAAGCCCTCTGGGTGATTCTGACCTGCACTTCAGTTTGAGAACCGAAATGCTACTTGAGAGTGAAGACTGCCATCTCTCGTGTGCCTGCAATGTCAGATGCGAAGTTCTTATAGGCAATGAAGGGGGAAGGCATGAAATGACCTGAAATCAGAAGGCACGGGTCAAACCCCTGAAAGCCATGACCTAGTACAAATCTGTACATAGGATCAAAATCCTCAGATCATAGGGCTACCAAAAGGATTAAGATAACCACGTGAGGTGTAATAAGATAACCACAGTGCCAGCACGTGATCCATGCTCAATATTTAACTGGTTTCTTCCTTTTTTATATAGCTTGAACTAAAACATGAACAGAAAACAGTAATTTTTATACAAAACAATCCAATGTCTTTTGATGTATCACTATTCTGCCAATGAGCTGAAACTCTGAACTCAAAATACATTTGACAAACAAACAAACAAAATATATATATATATATTTGAGGCATCCGATGCCTAGTTAGTTCATTTATTTTCACCTCTAAAGGCACTGCAGCACTTGTTTTAGAATGAATCACTAACAACTGGGGAGCAGCTAAAGCTGAGCACTTGTGTTTCTCAAGGAAAAAGAAAGAGATACGTATAAATGTGTCTGTGTACCTATGTGCCTCTGAGGGAGAAGCAGTTAGGAGAGAAGGAATTTGGGCCCAAAGGGAAGCAAAACAAATTCTTCCTTATTGGGGGAGAAATAAGGTGAATGTAAACGTATCAAGTCAGGATTTTGGTACCTACTAATGGTGGTTAGGCCTGTTTGTTACTGAATCTTGATCTGGTTTTAGGAAGAGACATTAAATGGAAAGAGTAAAATAGAAAAAAGCAAAAATATTTCCTAAAATTGCAAAGCATACTTCCTGAAAGTGAGACACTCACAAATGTGTCTACTGGGAAAGCACTGCAAAATGGGTCATTTTGTGAAGTTCTTTCTCGCCCAGCTTGAAAGAACGGTGAATCCCCGGCGCGGGTCTCCTTCTACCGCCAGGGGGCGCGCGGGGCCGCCCCTTGCGACCAGTCGGACAGACCAAGAGTTTTTGTCTTTGAGGTCCTGTCATTCTCTATATAAACAAGTTACGTTCAAGTGTTTAGGATATAAATTACGACCATGCCGGCTGCCTCGGAAGGAATGTAAACACAGCACTGTGGTCGGAGCAAACTCTGAAACTGACTTCATAATTTATAGCAGGCCCCGGGTAGCTCACTATAAAAGAAAAAAAAGGCCCTATTTAACTGTAAATATGATAATGGAGAGACAAAAAAAATGTTTAAATCACTGCTTAATTTTGGGAAATATAGGAAGGAAGCCTAAGGATTAGGAACATGGTTAAGACTTTTTGAAACAAGATATTTTACTTATGAGACTGTCTTTGGACTGAAATTCACTTGGAATACAAAACCCCGGAGATGTGAGATAACTCCTGAGTGGTAGTTAAGTGCCTGCTGATTGTGAGAAAGACCTTTCTGGGGATGAGAAACAAAGGTGAGTTTTCCCTTCGGGATTCAGGAAGAATAAAGCAAGAAACAAACAAACAAATAAAACAACACAAAAATGTGGCCCTGAGTAAAAAGGAAAACAAACTCAGTGACAGCAAAATTGTGATCGACAATTTCTCTGCTCCCGCTCAGACCTGTGGTGGCTGATACTGCCTGTGAATTTGAAAGGCTAGTCAGACAGAAGATAGGAAATAAGTTCTCCTGGATAGTTGGTCTATTTTGTCTCTTTCTAATCCAGGACTTCAATGGCTCTGCCTGTACCATCCGTGCCTGGAAAACCTAGCAAGAACAGAAAAGGAGGCTGAGGGGAAATGCCTAATCCCCTGTTAACAGGAAGGAGTGAGGCGAGGGGATGGGGAGGAAGGGGAAAGATGGGTAGGAGTTTGGTGGGTGCCGCTGCTAGGCTGGGCCAGCCAGGCTCTGAATTGGAGGATGAGGGGAGTCACAGAACCCCGTGTGTGTGTGTGTGTGTGTGTGTGTGTGTGTGTGTGTGTGAGAGAGAGAGAGATCCAGCTTCTGTCTTAAAGTACCCCAATTAAGTTTACCATGCTCAAAGTCTTCCTATTAATGTTCAGCAGACCTGCTCTCCACTCTTTAGACCTATTTGCCACTGTAACTAAACACCCACAGGGAAAGGCGAAGTAGGTCTTGTCCCCTGGCTCCTAGCCCTCCCCAGAGCAAAGGAGCTCCAGTGAGGGCTTACCACTGTGCCCTACCCCTGCCACCCCAGATGGTGGGGAAGAGGAAAGGGCAAAGGGCAGAACCCTTCCTGGGCACAGGAAAGAAAACAAAAGGGGCACAAAACTTGGTTTCCTCAAATCAAACCCTTTCCTTTCATTATTTTGCCTGGTTCTCTTTTAAGTTCCTTTCACCTTCTGGTTTTTGTTTAGCCAGAAAAAGTGGGGGTGAAGTAAAGAAAGAAATAACAGAGAACGTTCCTTCTCTTTCTCTCCTGAGGAGACCAACCATCAGAACCTAGCCGGTGTTACTCACCGCACAGACCCCACACCATGTCAGTTATACAACTTGGGGTGGGGGGCAGAGTACGTTGTACTGTGGCCTAGTGAGGAGGGGGACCTGGCCATGCTTGCAGGGTGCTCATAGAGGAAATCAGTCCCTAAAACAACCATTTGTTATATACATTTTATTGAAAAATTTTTACATCAAAATAGTTTGGCAAACTGTAAAAGTATACAGAAGTGCAAATATATCCTCCTTTTAAAATACAAGCCAAGTGTGAGTATACACGAAGATCATAAAAATATCTTTAAAATGTGGTGGTAGAAAACAACCTTGTAAAAATGTTGTATTGTCACAATACCGAAGACCACTTTCTTAAACTAGACGCATTGTTTCTAAATAATTTCTTATATAATGTTCTTTGGCACCTGTATCCAAAGGTAGTGTTCAGGGGGAAAAACACGACTCTCCTATTCAGCCAGGCAACAAGATGAGGCTTTCTTGAAATCTTGTGCTTAGCACTGCCTTTTTGAAAAGCACACAAGTTTTCATAGACAAAGAAACACACACACACACACACACACACACACACCCCTCATCTGGTTTTTCCAGACCCTGATTACTGAAGGCAAGGAAGATCCCAGAGCTGTACGTTGTCTAACATGTGGTAAATTTTTACCATCCCCTCATTTCACTCTCTCCCTCATCCGTGAGGCTGCAGGTGTTCAGATGTGGGGCATTACCTTGCCAAGGGTTGTCCCTCTTCCAACATAGTCAAACAGTGAACAAGGCTCTCCTGGGCATTCTGGCTAAGTGGCGGTGTGCTACTCGCTGCTACCCACATGCACGTTATGTGAGTCCATCCCAGTTCCTATCTGTGCCCCACCAAGGAGAGGAGAGAAGAGAAGAGAGGGTTCCCTGGCAGGGCCTCCATTCACATGACGCAGGGCTTAATATCCTGACAGACGCTCTGGTGGTGATGATGATAATACGACCCACTAGCTGATGGGTGGAAAGAAGAAATGCCATTGAAATTGAGGACGAAATCTTTTCTGTCACACACTGGAGCAGAGTGATGCTGGTAACGAGGCAGTCCCACTGAAAGAAGAACAAAAACGACTCTTTTCAGAAACAAAGTTATTCAGCTAATGATTGGCTGTATTATTTAAAAAATTTCAATCCATCAAGTGTTACTTTGACTCAGTACAAAAAGTGCTGGCGTGTCTTTTGGTATATTGCTATAAAACTGTTTGAGAAACCCCAGCTCTAGCGAATGTCTCAAAGTTTCCAACTGTAGGTCATCGGACAACTCTGAAATCATCATGTTTTGTTTTGTTTCCAATGCCATGCGCACACACAAATGCACACACAAATACAGAGCAAGTGTCCCACAAGGGGGTTCTTACGTGCCTGAATTGAAATATTACTCTCTGAGCCTGGAGCCAGTATTTAATCTCAGGATGAGGAGAGGCACCGGGAACAGCTCCACCCAGATTCTGGGCCTGGGTCCCTCAGCACAGAGCTTCTGGCCTATGCTGCCCTTAGCCCGTTGCAGGGAGGACCAAACAACCCGTCCTAGAAACACCACTGTCACCTTCACTGCTTGTTTCGAGCCTTATTTTCCTTTTGTATAGCCCAGTTTCAATAATAAGTGCAAAGAGGTGCTCCCTGTGCCCAAAGGAGATGACAGAAACCATCCAATTGCAAGAGAAAGGGACAGAAAAGAAAAGTTCATCTCTCTCTTCCTCCTGCAGGCATCTCATTAGAACACTTCTTGGGTTTCGTCTGTAGAAGCCAGGACTCTAGGGTGCGGAGAAATGCGGCCTGTCCAAGGCATCTGGCAACACCCGAGTTTCTGAGAGCTCCTTGGGAGAACAGAGAAGGCCTGTAGCCCACTCTGTCCTGGAGGCTCCTTGGCCCAGGGCGGGAGCCGGGCCATTCGTGTTCTAATCCGCTGCCCACTTTTGCTTTTGCTTTCTGGGCGCTTCCTGGCCCCAAGGCACAGTCGGCCTGGGGTGTCCGGTGAGCTGGGTCCCTCTCTGTGCTAGGCTGGGTTAGGCAGGTTCGCCTGAGTCTTTTCCAGTCACTCCAGCGGTGCAGGGACCGTAAAGGGCACTGTACCAGGGGCCAGATTCAGTTTTTCAGGGCAAGAAAAACATACCCGCTGGCCAGGGTGCCTCGGACCCTGCTCGTTGCTTTGGTTAGGCCGGATCCCCACATTTACGGACAGAGCAGGGTGCTCAGGGGCCAGTGACTCTGCCTACGTGTATTGACCGCTAACACCTAACCCGATATGAACTGCAACTGCTCTAATAAAGTGGCAACTGGCCCACGTGCCCGCTGTGTGCGTGTCGCTCAGCACACAGCTATGCTCACTTATCCCATTAAATAAAGCACGTCCTGATGCCAGGTCCTAGACCACGACCCATCAAGTCCTGGCAGCACGGAGAGCTAGCACTCACACCTGCCTATCTAAGGCGGTTTCGGTCGGCCCTTTGATGTGTTCGGCCCGGACGATAAAAGCCTGAGCTCCTTTTCGAATGGCTCAGAAGCGCTAAATGAAGAGCTTAGGTCTTGTCGGGCCTCGGTGGCGATGCTGCCCAAAGCCTCCCCACTCTCCCGCCGCGGTACCCGGCCCAGGACTGGCAGGGCGCCGCGCTGCGGGTGTGCTGGGGAGCGGTGGTGCTGGGCTGGAGTGCGTGAGAGTGTGCAGAGCTGGGTGCGGGAGGACAGCCTCGGCCCTGCCGGCCTCCCCACACCTCGCCAGGCCTATGCAGGTCCCGGAGGGAGACCCTACCTCTGGCCCACCTAAGATGAGCGCGCGCGCCAGTGTGTGTGTTTTTGGGGGGGGGGGCGGAGTGCGTATTTAAGACGGGAGCGAGCAAGAGGGCGAGGAAGGAAGAGGCAGAACATCTCGACTGGGTTTCAGGCCCGGGCCATCGTCTCTCCAGGGCTTCCAGATTCTGCCCGGAGTTCTTGCGCTGCTCCGGGGGAAGGCCAGATGAGGGAGGCCGGTGGGCAGGGGCGCGGAGTTTTCATCCTCTCCAAGACAGGGTCGTGTTTCCAGATCCCTAAATTTCTGGGGGCTTGTGCATGCTCCCAGTGTGTGGGGTGGGGCGAGGGCAGCCTAGAAGAAAGGTCAGGAGTAGCTTCCCTGCGTTTTTTTTCCTTCTTAAAAGTATAGTTTCGCTGAGGCTGCGAAGCTTCTGAGTCTAGGTTCAAGTTGAGAAGGGTCTGTCTGGAGAGGGTGGCGGGCAGGGAAGGGGGCAAGTGGGGCCGTGGGGCCTTCGGAGTGTGTGTGATTGACAACCAGTCCGAGGGGATACAAAAATAAGAAGGGAGGGCGTCTGTACTGGTTACTTGGTGAAATTCCCATAAAATTGAACAAGACTTCGCTCTCACTGGGTTAAGTCAGGCTAAAATCCTCTCCCGTGTGGTCCTACAGAGACTGTCTTTGTTTAGTTAACCTCTGAGACCCACATTTAAAAGGTCTATTTGGGAAATTTCACCGTCCAGGGAACCCACATCTTTTACACATTTCTGGGCTTCCTTTCTCCTCGATGCTTCTGTTGCAGACCAACTCAGGAACATCTTAAATAAAGTATGCATGATCCTTCAAACCGTTTTCTAATTGCTGTGGGAGGTAAGTGTGTAAGTGTGGGGCCTTGCCTTTGACTGGCAGGCTAGCCTGATTTTAGTCTAGAGGACATGGGTGCTTTGGAGGGGTTAATACAAGGGTGTATCTCCAGTCTGCAGATAAACCTAGCCAAATATTCAAATTCCCTCCTACACCCCCACCATCCCCTCCCACCTTTCACCACCTCAAGCAAGTCAATAAATTTTCATAAGCCGTGATCAACACAACTGAAACTAGTCACACTACAAGTGGCATCCAAAGGGCAGGCACATTTCTCAGAGGAGTCACAGCAGGGCCCTCAGGTCTGCTGCTTAGGACAGGCTCGGGTGTCATTACTGTGGGGAGGAGATTCCACAACCACCCGGGTGCCCCTCTCCTACCACAATATGTCTGTCTCTGCAGTGAAAGATCCTGGGAAACTACTCTACTGTCCTCTCAGCCCTTCCTTTACCCCTTCTCTCCTCTCAACACTTGCCCACCTAAAAACTCCTCCCCACCCACACTTCATCCTACAGAACATCTCCCTTTCTGACATTTACTTTTGGACAAAAGTATGGCAAAAATAACAAAAGTTTGGACAAAAAAAGTATAATGTGTTTCTTTTAATAGAACAAAAGAAACTAGACATAGGTCCCTGACTAAGGTCCCCAAAGGCCACATCTCTTCTCTCAAAGCTATGTCAGGCCCCAAACGGGAGACCTGCAGTTCTCAGTGTACCCAGTCCAGAAAGGCGGGCGTCTTTGCACCATTCTTCTAGCAGCCGGGCAATTCTGGAGGCTGGGCTCCTAACCAGGGGCTACTCGGAAAAGCAGTAGGACCCCCATCCCTGCCCTATGAATAAGGCGCTCCCCGACCCCCCAACATCCGCTTCTCCAAGTGCCTTGGGACCCCAGGCTGGGGCGTCCAGTTGGGAGCGGCAGTAGCCTGGGGTCTGGAGGCCTAGCGGCGACGCCCCCAGAGGGCTGCTCCAGGGGCGCTGCTTTACCTGAGAGTTCTTCGCGGGCGTTCTGGTGCAAGTAGCTCTGCTCCAGCGAGTAGGAGGACATGCTGGAGTGCAGGCCTGCAGAGGCCGCGGGGTTGCTGCTCGGCGTCAGGGCGGGCGGCTGCTTGAGGTAAGGCGACGCGCCAGGCGAGCTCCAGTGCGCTGCAGGGCTCGTGTAGGGCGAATGGCACTCGATGGCGCTCGCCATGGCAGGGGACGAGGGCACTGGGCTGCTGCTGCTGTCTGGCCCGTAGTCCCCGCCGCCGCCGCCACCGCCAGCCGCACCGACACCCCCGGGCCCCGCGGGCACCGGACAGCTGGCCATGTAGGTGGAGCCCGGATTGGGCGACATGTGCGGGACGTGGTGGTGGTGGTGATGGTGCGGATGCGCGTGGCTCGGGGCGCCCGCGCCGGCATCGTAGCCTGCGGGCATCATATCGAGGCCGCCATAGCCGCCCTGGCCGTGGCAGCCGAGCGGCGCCGACGGGGGCGCCTGGAAGTCGAAGCCCTGGGGCAGCAGCGAGGCCCCGAAGCCCAAGCCGCTCACCACGCGGTGGTACATGGGCTTGAGCGCCTGGCACTTCCGCCTGAAGCCGCGCGGCCGGCGGCGGAATGAGCCCTCCTCGAACATGAACTCGCTAGCCGGGTCGATGGTCCAGTAGTGGCCCTTCCCGGGCCGTCCGAGCCCCTTGGGCAGTTTGATGAAGCACTCGTTGAGCGAGAGGTTGTGGCGCACCGAGTTCTTCCAGCCCTGGTAGGCGCCGCGGAAGAAGGGGAAGCGCGCCTGCAGGAACTGGTAGATCTCGCTGAGCGTCAGCCGCTTGCTGGGCGAGCTCTGGATGGCCATGACTATGAGCGCGATGTACGAGTAGGGCGGCTTCTCGGGCCGCCGCAGCCCCGAGCTCGCCTTCTTGGTGCCCCCGCTCCCCGCGCCCGCGCCGCCGCCGCTACTACCCGCGCTCTTGCAGGCGGCTGAAGGGGCGCTGGCCGAGTTGGAGGAGGACGAAGACGAGGCGCAGGAAGCGGAGGACGACGACGACGACGACGAGGTGGTCTCCAGTGCGGCAGTGGCAGCTGCGGGCGGCGGGCTCATCAAGGCGGCC